GGAGGTACGGGGAGTAAATAGTGGAGAGAAGAGAGGGTCTCTTACTCTCTAACACACACGCACACTCTCTCTCTCTCCGCTTACGCGGCTCGCGCGTGTGTGTGCGCACGTGTGTGCACTTCGCAATCAATTTGATCACAATATAATGCAGTTCATCCACTGTTGCGAAACAGTAGCGAAATATTCCCATGTCCAGATCAAGATCTTTTGTTGAGCAACAGTCGGGCAACAAAATATTTGAAAAGACACAATTTTGTGTATTTCTATATTTACCACTTTTTATAGGAAACATGACACAGCGTTACGAGCAACGCGACTCATTACCATTTGTCGGACGCGTTTTGGGTTGCGGTGTGCGATCGCATACAGGGAAATACACAAGCCACGGAATTTATCTAAAGAGGCGTTGCACTAGAAGGTGAGAGGAAAAGTCTGATTAAATTGATAGTATCCCATTAGGCCGAGGTACTGACTCAAATAGCCAAGTGCTGGCAGAATATTGATAATAATAGAATTATTACCTCTCACGCAGTTGCATTGGCTCACATAGCTTAGTGTCGTCAGAAGCTTTGAATTTTGTATCTTAAAAATTTTTTTTTTTTTTTGTAATGTCAAGAAGCAAATAATTTTTAATCGGTATACCGTCAGCTTATTTACATTATTGGAACTTGTGACCAAATACCAGTCTCAGTATGTTCTCGAACTTTGAGAGTAAAGCACAGAAAATCATATGGTCACAAGCATCTTCATATGACAGCAAATTAAATCTGTTATCCAACTCTTGACATTACCTTCTGTGTACACTGAAAATACAGATACTAGGCTTCTGGCGGCACTAAGCTATATAAGTAAATACAGCTGCGAGATCAGCTAATAATAGTTTATTCTGACTCTAATAAGCTATGTGATTCATTGTAATTTCGTAAATTTTGTTTCTTCCCATGACTTGTTTCTATTACCTTAAGCAGATAGTCTTTTCCCAAGGTTCAAAATTTAAATAACAGAAAAGACACTTGGACTGATCGAGGTGTTAAATTCCACTCCCAGTGTGTGGGAGGTTAAGTGCGGTTTGGTCTGGACGTCCAGCACTGTGCACCTGTTCTGTAACCTTCGCGAAACAATTCAGATACAAATTCGCGCCAGCGTCTCTCGAGTGTCTCACAACAGTCGCTGGATAAAGTCGCTTGTGTTTCGCGAATGTTGCTAAATTGTGGAGCAACAAATTTGGAATGCTGCTCAGTTGCTGAACCACAATACAGATATATTGCTGTCCAACTGTTTCGATATAATGTATCTTGGTCTGGACTAAGCTTTAGAACCATACCACTTATTCAAGCGACATGAAAAGAATAGGCAAAATATTTCGTTTACACACTTATCGAACTCTATTTTTTTCATTCTTTCTTACTCATGAATTTGATTGGCTATTCTTCAGTATCATATTATAGAGCGCAAACTTTTATTACCCTGGATACTCTGTTGTATTTCCATTTTCAGTACTATGTAGAATAAAACGAGTTCTGTTCCTTTCTTATCCTTAATTGGCTCCTGTTACCGTGTCAAGTTTGTGAAGAAGAAAAGGAGGCTTATGTTTTCCAGTCCGCCCGCTTGTCTGTTGTTATTTTCTGCCCCCAAGGAAAAGCACGGGTAATTGGTTGACCGAATCCATAAATCAGTGATCATTAACGGAAATCATTTTTGATCTTTTGTTTCTGTCCTTTGCGTGCACCAAGAGATCCGTAAAAAAAAAAAAAAAAAATCACTCATGTCGAGAACAAGAGCAAGAAAAAGTTACACGTATTGGATATGTTTTTGAAAAGGTGTTTTGTGCCTCATGCGAATCAGCACTTCCTTGAACTTGTCCTCCTTTATGTGAAGCAGAAACAGGAGGAATTCCCTTAAACAAATTTTAGTACTGAACAATTAATCACATCAGAGTACGTTAAAAAGAAATCTGAAAAATCTAATTAAGGGAAGACTTTTTTTTTTTTTTTTTTTTTTTTTTTTTTTTTTTTTGCTGATGAGAGTACGGTAGTGATAATTTGGAGCCATAATTTTTGCATTAGATCGTTCACTACAATTAGTGCCGTAAGAAAAATATTCCCCACTCAGCTCCGAATTTTTCTTCTTTGTGTATGCAATTATCTAATGAAATATTAAACACTACGATACTTATTAAGTATGTTATGCACTTAAACAAGAGAAATATATAAATATATATATGTGTGATCATTAGAATATGAAATATTGGCAATAATGTAAATTCTTTAATTGGTATATCACATCCAATTAATTTTTCCCCTTAAGCCTTTTTTCCAGATATTATGGAGGAGCAGATAGACGATCCGTTTTCCTCCTCTGTGACATTTTCATTTATATCTTACAGAGAGAAAAATATCGTGAATGGAGAGAAATGGATGAGTAATATATTGGTGTGAGAGATGGGGTCGGGGAAGGGAAAGAGAAGAAGAGAAAGAAAGAGAGAGGGGCGGAAGGAATG